TTCATGAGATGACCCATAGGACCTTTTATGTCGGATCATCACTACGTGTCAAATTAATAATTAATTTTTAAATTTTATATATATATATATATATATAGGCATAAAAAAAAGTCTTATAAAATTATTTTTCAAATAACATTTATGAACAAGGCAAATTCTTTGCCATAATGCACTGAAACTTTTCATTCAAAAGATACAAGAGCGCAAATACTTTACTGAATTTTACTACATTACACTTCAACAAATTTAGTGCATTGTTGCAAGAAATGGATTTAGGACATTGAGAGATAAGGAGGGTCAGGAACGAAAAATTCAATGATAGAAAAAGGAAAAGGGTTGCGGAGTCGTATGCAAGGGGTGTGTTTATTTGGGAAGGTATTGTATCACTTTGGCAGTTATGCCAAACAATGATTTAAAAAATTGATCGGTGGCTAAGATCGAGCATTGTAAAAATCAATTTAGGTTGTTGTTTTACTAATAGTGAATCTATAAAAAAACACGTGAAAAAATAATGAATCTGCCAATAAACGATCTGAATCAATGAATCAAGATTTTTATTGTGGCAAAACGGTGTTTTACTATAGCAAATCGACAATTTTTTTCTAGATCTGGATGATTTTCTATATATTCACAAAACCGGCACAGGTGATCGATTCCCAAATCGGATCGAGCAATTTCGTACCGACCAGGCGTTTTTTAAATCACCGCACAAAAGTGATACAATGTAACTAAGTTCCCTCTTCCCGTTTCGGGGTTAAAATGGATAAAGGTTTTTCGAAAAGCTCCAAAGCTTGTGCGTAGGTATTCCCCCTTTCTCTCTACAATTTTCTATCCACCGTGCCTGTCACTCACACTCAAGTGCATCTCTCCTTGCTGTCCCTCCTTTCTCTGAAACCCCTACTTCTTCTCTCTCATAAGTCTGATTTAGACTTCAGATTGTTCCCTTATTGAACTTTAAATGTAAATGCATGCATTTTATAATACATTTAAAAGAATGCGTGAATTCATACATTTTCATGTGATATATTATGCAATCAATATTATGTTCAAGGTGAGAGACACATAGCTTAAGCCCATTGTTGCGTCCCTAGAATTTTATCTCCATTTATTTGCACTAGACAAGTCTTCAAATGAATATATTTCTATTTCTATTTCTATCTTTCTTTGTTGATTGATCCAAGACATTGTAGTCAATTTAGAAAGTAAAGAGTGTTCTTGAAAAGGGATATATTGTCATTTCGCTGCTTTAACAGCTCCAAAAGAAAAATAGTAGGAATTTCCACTATTGTCAGTTCTCAATTGGTAGAGAGATTGCTTTAACCAAAAATGTATAGATAAATTTAGTGATGAAACTCTTGCTTTGCTTGAGCCTCATTTGAGTAAACTTACCTCAATACCTTAATTATGTGTCAATAGGGTGAGAAGATTGAGTGTTGTTGGCTTCCAAGAGATGATGGAGCTAAACCATTTTTATTATGGGATCTTATTCTCTATTCTTAACTTCCATATCTTATGAGATCCAAGAATTGATAATATTACTTGTAAGCAAAAAGCCTCTTTCTTTTCTATCTTACAATCCCCTGGACCCCTTTGATCGTAAATTTTTTATCCAAATAAATACTTAAATGACACCCTATTCAAACTCCATCTCTCTCTCTCTAAGACTTTATCTCTCTCTCTTCGGTTCTCAGTGAGTTTACCAGCCAAGGGGTTTAGCTTGAGCTCGAACACGAGCACACCTTCTTATTTGTGTGTGAGAGATGGATTTTAAAAAGAGAGATGGAGTTTGAATTTTAGAGAGAGATGGATTTTGAGTTTTAGGGAGAGAGATGGAGTTTAAAGAGAGAGAGACGATGATGTGAGAGTGAGAGA